TCCAATTCGTTCCACCACGTCCACTTCGACGCGCATAAAACACGTCGCTCGGCCGCACCATATCCACCGCAAGATCTCAGCGTCCACTTCATCTCGATTGCGTGTGTACACAAAGAGAGAAAGAGAGAGAAAGAGAGAGTGCGGGATCTTCACGTTAACGCCACGACAGTCCTTCCTTCCTTTTGCTCGCGCGACAATCAACGCCGCGCGTTTTCAAACTCTCTGCCGTACGATCGAACGACAGCCGGGTTTTTGCACGACGACACACAGAGACGACGCCGATATGTAAGACTCCTCTCAAACGAAGACGCAGTCGCCCCGCTGTCGTTGTCCCTCGACATCTCTCCGTTTGATGTGAGCTCGCCAAGAGCCACGTTGATTACTCTTTTTCGTTCTAAATATAAACTAGGTCGACGGCGGCGCGTTGATCGACTCGTCTTCGACGCACTACTCCTCGGACACGGCGTTACCACCCCCCTTGATCTCCTGGACTGGCCCGATCCACTGACTCGTCGGATCCCCAGGTCCACCGACCGGTATATCAGGTGTCTGTCGTCGCGTTATACTTTTTGACGTGAGCGCGAGAATCTCCCGCGATGTAAACACAGTCGTCGTGGCGAAACACTCTGCTCGCCGAAGGGACACGCGCGGCTTTATGTCTCGGGGACGGTGTGGGACAGAGTTCTCGCATTAGATTCCAAGATCGAGCGTCGACTAGAATCCGAAACGGCCTGCCTTATCGCGGACGAGTATAGACGACGATGACGACGACGAGGACGAGGACGAGGAGACGAAGGACCTCCTCGTGGAAGGCGGACCTTAACCGGGAGGGAGGCAAGCCAAGAAGATTACCGTAAGCAGATTATTTCCGTGGAAATCCCGCTGGCCAACTCTCCCGGCACGCTGCCACACCGGAGCGTTTCGGCGCCGAAACTTCCTGCGGAATTTCCAGGCGCGAAAGGAAGTAGTCGAAGCACGGTGCAGCGCGCTACAAGATCTGCTCTGGCAGCAGCCGTCGGACATCGTAGATAAGATTATTGAAGGATCAAGCGTCGCATGCCGTGGAATAGGATCTTGACGAGCAGCTCCTCGTCTCGCCGCGAGGCTCCGTAAAACCAGCGCGACAGCTACCGCCGCCTTCGAACCCGCTTTTCTTTGCCAGAGACGCGTACGAGGAAAGACGCCGGCCCGCGCTCTCCTTTAATCAACTCATCGACGCTCATCGTATGACCAGCACGTTAATTACACGAACAAGCTCGTTTGATACGCCTCGCGTCGACGATATTCTCTTAAAATGAATAAATGTTTCGGATTCGCAATCGGCAAAAGACTTTCTCCTCTACCCTCTCACCGATCATCGCGGAGTATTCATTTCCCGTGAAAACAGCCCCATTTTATTGCTCGCGTCTTATATCTCACTGACTTCGACCGGTGAAAATAAGATTTCACAAATTCGTTATACGCTGTACCAAATCCAACTTTCTGCCTTTGTGACGATGGAATTAACGGCTTCCATGTTCAAGTTGAACAGAGTTGCAAGTTCTGCTTAAGGGAATGCCATACTTGAAAACTTTACCTACCAAGTATTGATCTTCTTTTTTACAAAGTTTACATCGTATTGGTTGCACAAAATTGCAAGTGCTTTTACACTAAAAGTAATGAAGTGGAGTATTGCTCAATATGTGAGAAAAACAAATTTAAATTGACATCTCGAGCTGTCAGTTGGCGTAAATATTTACCTTATACGAAAGTTCTGCGCACGTACCGCGTATATTTATCCCGCTAATGAAAATTTTAAGCAACATTTTTGTACTTTTACAGCTGAATGTAGGAGCTGAAAATTGTACTAAAAATTTACACACAAATTTATATATGTATATAAATTTGTGGTGGTTATGGTTTTTATCAACATAGTAAAACAAAGCAACACACATTTATATAAGATTTATACGTATGTACAACAAATACGAAAAGAATCATAGTAGCATAGTATAAACGTGTTAATGACGCCTTTACGTTATCGACATTTTTCGACATCCACTTCGTTATCAACTTCAGCATCTCCTTAACCAGAAATCTTGTTAACTCAAACAGAATTCTGAGCGGGATTTCTAACTCGTTCATATCTCGCCAGATATTTGGTTAATCCAACTAAATTTCGTGTGGAACAACCATTTTGTTCTTTCAGTATGAATATTCGCTGATTTTCGGCGGAAACACTGCCGCTTTCCTGCTCCGTCCTATTTCTCATTGATTTTCCAGTGAGAAGAAAAGAAGGGTTTCATTGCAAAATCCCTGTAGTATAACAAATTATATCAAATCCAACTTTCTGCATTTGCGACGAATTAACACAGATTCCACAGTGAGAAAATTATTTTTATACTTGGAACTAAAGTATTTGATACATACACGATTTGGTTGGCATACCATTCCTGGCGGGAATGAAAGAATATCAAATATCTAATAACACTTTTCCTCTTTTGCTCTGAAGAGTTCCGAAACTCTTCTTTCTGCAAAAAAGAAATTAGATGAAGCATTATTAGAATCATTTCCATCAGGAACGTGTTTACTTGCATCAAGTACATGTGTATATTATTAAAAAAGCAAAACACATAGCGGCAATGAAATCTCTTGGCTGCAATTATCAACCATCTGATTGGTCCCGTTTCAATCAAATTATGATCCTATTTTATCCCATTGTACTAAACTCTCGTTTCGACAACGAAACCCTTTTTTCAATGCATGTGACTCGCGTGCAATGACACTGCTTGTGTTGGCAAAGTGAATAATGGCAGTAATTGCCACGCTATCGACTGATCCCTTCGGCGAGATTTTGTTGATTGCAGTGCTGTACTTCTGACTGTGAACTACCTGTTATAAGTATAATATTTCAGAGAGGAATATACCGATTCCAATGTGGAGAGCGATGTCCCTGAGCATCCGGTGGAAATCTCGTTGGAAGTCGCGTCTCGTGCGAGACAAATCGCCGATAAAACCGAGTTCATCGGCTCAATTGTTTATGCGTATGAAGCGTGCGCAACGAATTCTCGCGGGCAATGCGGGGAATCTCAATTTCTACACCGACGACGCGCGTTACGTCGCGCTCTGAAAGGGCTCGCGATTTTCATCGGCTTGTTTGCGCTAATATTCTCACAATGCCGCGCGCGCGCGTATGTGTGTGTGTGTGTGTGTGTGTGCATGCATACGAGTTTTATTTTTTTTCCTTCTTTTTTTTGCAAAAATGAAACATGCAACGCGCCGCGATCGATGGGAAATTATGAGTCGTTACGTATATTTGAGATAGCGAGATTTTTCCCTCATCGATTTTGTGCACGTTTCACGTCGGCTAATAACTTCGGATGCGGATGCAATTAATAGACTTCCGCCGAGCGCGCGCTATATATGCGCGCGTCCCTTTTCAGCGCTGCGAGTTTCTGCTAACGTACGCGCGAATTTCGTGGGTCCCGCGCTCTTTTTCGCCCGTCATTCGCGAAATTTCCCTCGCTGTGCGGAATTTCGCACGGTTATTCCGAAACAAGTTCGCCCACGAATTTATACATTCTCTCTTTGGCCGGATGAAAGCTTCCATGTACGCCTCGCCGATTAAATGTCGGCGTTTTCGAGATATTCGCGCACCGCAGCGCCCGAATTCGGTTGATTCGCTCGGCCGGGATTCTCTCTGTCTCTTTTTTTTCTCGTTTACCGCGGGAAGTAATCGCAGAGGATATCCGCAATCCGCAGAAATCATAAAAACCGCGGCGTGCGCGGTCGAATTCAGCCCCGCGGGGGAATCCACGCGCTCGCCAATGGCTATTAATCGCGAGCACTTACTAAGGAGGAATGACATTTTTCACAACACCAACCGAAAGAGAAAGAGGGACAGAGAAAGTGATCGTTGAGTGGCTAATGATCGCGTTGCTCGCTCATCGTCGTAGAAACGACGTACATCGTACAATTGCTTGTAATCAACGATTTTCGCAAGCATAAACTTGGCGCGAATGACATGTCCCTGCAAAAGCAAGACTCAGACGATGTAATGCACATTCGCGATCGAACAATTGTGCAGATTCTGGACACTTGGGACTGGAGAAGTCAGGAAGCCTCGCGAAGCGACTCACTGTTATGTTACTGTCATTGTTGCGTTACGAAATGAGTCGCTCGATCAGACAGAAACGTCATTCGCGATTTCTGACGAGCCGTCATCAGGTACAGAGATAAGCGGCACTTCGCTCGTTATCTACACGCGGGGACTTACGGTTATTCAACAGAGAAGCACGTCTGCTCACATTGAGGCTTCCTCCAGTCCGCCGTGTACAATCGCCGCGCAATCTCCGCGCTTTTAACAATATTTACAATATGCCCCAAATGCCACGACGTCACGAATGGAATCCAAACAAACAATAAACTTCAATGGCCGAAGCAAGATATTTTCGGATTGTTGTTTCCCGTTGAGGTCACGAGATCGCTCTACACCGGTTTGTCGTGACGTGATTTGAACGCGCGTTTATCAAAATTGTCGACGAGCAACCGGAGTCAAACTGGCCAAGTGATCCGAGCGGGAAGACCGGTCGGTCCTACCGATTGTCGCCGAGCAATCGGAACACCAGGTGACACGGACGGACGAGCGTCGTCCTCGCACTACGTCTCTACGGACACGTGGAGCTATGTGGGTCAGCAAATCGCCAGGTAACTGACGAATCGTCCGACACATCACGACAATCACCGGGAGGTCCGAGCGGCACGACGCGACTGACAACTCCGAGGCGACGCGACGCGACGCGACCGGATGAGACAAGCCGGTGTGAATTCGGCAAATCACGAATCGACACCCTCGACGTGCGGTAGACGCACGTAACAGCCCGATACGCACCCACGTCACGGCGCGTAGACGGCGGCGACGATCGGCGAAAGTGCCGTGACGCGACGCGAGGCGACACGACGACGACGACACGGCACTTCCGCGACGTGGCGGAAATAGCGAGAGGACGCTCTCTACTCACCCGCGAGCACTCGTAATTGCCGGCGCCGGTGCTCCCGCGTCGATATTCCTCGTCTTGAGCCCGATAATCCAGCCGAAGCCCCCGAACTCGTACTCCAACACACACCGGTGGCCCGACGCGGTGGTACTCGCCGGCGCGCTCCCAATGTCAGAAAAGAGACGGGCTAGGTCGTTCGATCTCTCGGCACCTCACGCGCACACCACTCCGAAACCGGCGCTCACCACACGGCGTTTCGCCACTCCACCGACTCACCGAACGAGCGCGACCGATAGCTCGTAGAATACGGATGTATACACGATAATGACTATTCTATTCCCTAATCCGCCGGAGTCGTCCACGGCGCGGCTCTCCTCTCTTTCTCCCTCTGGTCTCTCGCTCTCTCGCGCGTTCACCCTTTCTCTCTCTCTCTCTCTCTCTCTCTCTCTTTTTACCTCTGTCTCTGTCTCACCCTCTCTCTCTCTCTCTCTCTCTCTTTCTCTTTCTCGCTTTCTCTCTCTCTCCCTCGCTCACGCGCCAGCTCGCTCTCTCGCCCTCTGTCTCTCCCTATCTCCCTTCCGTTTCCTCCCTTTATCCGCGCTCGTCCATCTCTCTCCTTCTCTCTCTGTCTCGCGGAATGTGGGACAGATGGACAGAGACGGGAGGTAACACGCGAGAGACGACGACGACGATGGTCGGTAGAGAGACCAGCGCGCGAGCGGCTATTATAGCAGGAGGGCGTAGGAGAGCGCCCGGCTCAACTTTTCACGAGAACTTTAGTTGTTACGGATCGCTCTCTTGGTCGAGGGGTTATGCGCGCGGGGGACGCTCGCGTTCGCCGGTCGCCGGCGGGGGAGGAACGCCGGCGTCGGAGCATGGGGAAGGGATGGGATGGGGTGCGCGACGCGGTCGCGAAACGACAGAGAAGCGCGACACAACGGCGCAAGGAAAAGGCGGATGTGCGAGCGAGAACGGTGGGGTAGCGCGAGAGGAGAAACCCAAGCGAGAAGGCAGGGCGAGAGAGGTAGGGGCGCGCGCGTTCGCGTCAAAAGGAGGGGGGCAAGGTGGAGAACGGACTGAGAAAGGTGATCGAGTGCGGGAAAGAGAGGGATGAGCGAGTGGGTGCTGCGCAGAAGGGGGGATAGGGCATCGAGAGAAAAAAAGACAGATGCAAGCGCGCCGCGCCAAGTTGGAGCGAGAAGGAACGACGCGCACCGTCGAACCGCGTCGACTCGTTCCGGAGTTGGCGTGGCAGAGGCAGTGCCGACGGCCTCCACGGCACCCTGATGGGGACCCAATGGCAGCTCGGGATACGAGGCAGCCTCGCCAGCCGCGATGGCAACGCCGTGCGACACGACGTTACGTACTGTCCGTCTCTAAAAATATACTCAAGCCCGGAGAGTCCTCTCTTCTCTCGCTCTTCCTGTCTCTTTTATGCCTCACGATCGCGCTTCCTTCCTCGTTGCGCTTACACCCGCGACTATATGTCTCTCTCTCTTTCTTTCTCTCCTACTCTCTCTCTTTCTCTCTTCCTCCCTCCCTCTATCCTCTCTCTCGCTTACGCGGAGGTGTACGAATAGATTACGAGAAAATAGGCGAGCGTAAGAGACGCTGGCCATTACTTCGTGACGTTAAGAGCGAGCGAGCGTGTTTCGGCATTTCTCAGCGGACGCGATTGACTCCGGGGCGGATCGAGACGCAACGGGGAAAAAATTCGATCGCCAAAGTGTCACCGTTAGCATCAATAGTTAAGGTATCAATGTCGAGGGGATTAATGGTCCTCCTCTGCTCTGCTACGCCTTTTGCGCAACTTCCAACGCCCCATCGATCTAAGGGTCCACGGAAACTTCGCCGATCCGTTCCGTCTACCTGGTCGTTCGCGTAAACAAAGCGCGAGCTTTAACAGTCGGGAATTACGGAAAGAGTTACGCCAAACAGCCGAGATAGACGGGAATAGAGATCGAATACGCGCCGCATTGTTTCGTGAACTTCGACGTTGCGTTCTCGCGAAGCAAAGCTCGTCCTAATCGGACGCAATCACTTCCGGCGAATGTGATTATCGTCCGTCGTGACATCAAACACGAGAGCACGCCTTATTAGCGCGTTATCGAAAATCAGGTTACAGCCTGGCCCAAAAGCCGATGGCACGCGCGATTACAGCTCCGACGACTGGATCCACGGCTTAGACGCGTGTCCTCTCTCTCTCTCCCTCCCTCTCTTTCTCTCTCACGCGCGTTAACTCACAATGCCTAATCTCGTTACCGTTTGAAGACGCCCAGCGCGAATAATTTCTCCCCGATCTGCGCGCCAGGACCCGGTGTTCCCTCTCCTCCCTCCTCTCACCGTCGCCGATCCACCCTTCCTTTTGACACGCTCTGTAGCCAGGTGATAGCCTACACATACCCGCGGTATACCCGCAACATAGCAATTTAACTTGCTCACGTGCGAGCGGTTAATGCTCTTACGGGATTTCGAAAAGATCAGCCAGCATTACTATGCTATTAGCGTAGCTAAAACCGGCTTGCTTCCATAAACCTATACTAACGCGCGGCCACTTTATTCACCGCCGGGGCCCATTCATGCGCTCTTACGCCAATTTTCCTCATTGACGGATCGGAAACGGCGGTGGCGCTGCGCCGCCGTGCGAGACGTATCGCGACGAGTCGGCGCCGCGATCGCCGATTTCGCACCTGCGCGCCCGATTTCACGACGACGGACGGACCGACGAATCTTGTTTTGACAAACAGGTGAAGTATCGGCGAGAAATATCGCTCTTCTCTTCCCGCCCTCTCCCCTTCTCTCTCTCTCTCATCCCCTTCTCTCTCTTCCCCTTCCTCTCCCCCTCTCTCTCTCTCTCTCTCTCTCTCTCTCGTAGTTCGTGAGAATTAGCGATTCCAGGCACACGTGGCGTCGCTCGCTAATGTAAGTAGTGTCGTGTGTGCGGAGAGCGGTTCGCCGCGAAATGTTTGGTATCCTTTCTCTGTCTCTCTGTTTCTCTCTTCCTCGAGTTTCCGCGGATGCGAATAGGGAAAAATTCGTCTTGGATCGCAATTAATGCAGACGAGAATGTTGAAGTTTCTAGCGCAGAAACGTGGATCGACTTAAACACTTTGCACAAATAAGTCTTTGACGAAACATTCTATGTTTATTTCAAAAATGTAAATATCTCAATTCATCTACCCTGTGTCGTACTGTATCAAATATCAAAGAATATAACAAATATGTTAAGCATAAGTAAAATACAGAGAGAGTATGTGCGCGGAAAGGAAATCTCAATCCGTGGAAATGAATGGGGATCAGAATAAAATTCGGTAACGCGAAACAATATCTTTGTTATCCGTAACAGAAAATATTTATCTGAACATACAGCTATTGAAATTGGAGATAACTGACAGCAATTAACTGAGTGGGAACCTTTTTGTTCCTTCAACCAAGTTCTCACCTGTCCATATTCTAACACTTAGAAAAAAATATTTGAACATTTCTTTACGTGATACGAAGTTTATTTACAGAAATAAACTTTACTTTTACGTAAACATTATTTTACAGAAATGAATTTATGTTCTATAAATAAGTTTCCAAGTATTTTTTATCAGTGTACCAAGCAACGGAAAATCAAGTTGCGCTAATTACTTTTTCCGCGTATCACTAAATCGATTCAAAAACGTTGAAAAGCACATTTTCGCTCTTACGGCAATTTTCCGAAATCTGTTGTACCTTACAAAGAAAGAATAGACAATACAAAAGAAAAGGACGGTTCTTCGGAACAAATTTTGTTATAATCTCATTGATAAAGCGTTAGAAACAATACCGCGAATAGCGAGCGAGGTGCATGGCTTGTGGGTCGCACATTTATTGCCGGTTTTATCTCAAATTACGCGATAAGGCGCGCAAAACGTCCGCACTTTTTGAGCCGTAATCTACTCCGGCGGCATTAAGAGATCTGCATCAAATCGATAGTGGTATTACAGGTATTACACGGTATTAAAGTAAGAACCACCGATCCCAGTTTGACACGATTAATTAATTAACCCGCCGGCAATCCTACCGGCGCTTTTTACCCGTGGAATTTCACGATCGTAATATTTGCGGTGACGTTAACGTTAACGCGCTCAACGTTACTCTCAACGCGGCTGCCTCTCGCCGCAGCGCGGACTCCTCAAAAATTCTCCTCGCGGATAATGGCTCGCGCGCATTACGTTACTTTAACGGCCGGCGTCATCGTCGTCGACGTGTAAAATCGGCGCTCTATCTGCTCGTGTTCATTGTAGTTCTCGCTTTATTCTACCCACAACGCCGATACAGACAGACCTACGTTATCTTGTGCACTCGCTACGGCACTTTCAATTAGCGTAAGACGCCACTTAAAGATTATTATCCCCGTCGCGCTGAACGGGACAAACGCTCTCGCAGCTGCGGATTATTCGCATTGAGTTCCATTCGCGACTGGAAACTCACCGCACAGGTGCACAGGTGAACGCTTTTAGAAGCAGATTCTAAAATATCACGCGTGCGTCGCGTTTAGTCCTAATCAGTGTCAGACGCGCTGGAGGCTGATTAATTAAACACCGCTGCGCCGCCTCGTACGACACGTTAGATCGACTTAACAAAAATCACAGGGAAGAAAGTGGGAATATGCGTCGTTTCTTTTTGGATCCATATTGCTTCGTGACAATCTTGATCCGCGACCTCATGCGGATCGGATGGGATACGAATGGGTGCACGAGCGCTTGTCGTCGTCGTCGTCGTCGCTGTCGCGAAACTCATATAAATCGGAAGAGGCGGGGGGGAAAGGGAGAGAGATTAAACAAAGCGACGACACCTCTCGACACGGAATTATGTCGCGAATTATGACCTCGGCGCGCTCATGCAATCTTCCGAGGATCTCGAGCGAGAAAGGGGGAGATCAGCCCCGGATATTCGGGAGGTCATCCCCTTTCTGCGGGCGCCAAAGTCGTTCCCGAAATCTCTTCCTGCACAGACGCTTAAGGACGACTCTCGTTAAACGATCGATGCGCGCGAAAGCGCATTCGTGCTTCGGGGGCTTGAAGCGCTCCTGGATTTTATATAGAATGTAGTTCATGCTCATCATCCCGAAGATCAGCCGGCTGAGCCGTTCGACAAACTGTTCGAACAAAAAGCACTGAAAAAAGACAACTCGGTGCAAATAACCTTTGCTACGTTTCCCCGCCCTCTCCCCCTCAGCGCTGCCCCCCTTTATCCATTTCTTCTATCTGTCTCTCCCTTTTGCCCCTCTACCTGCCTCGTATTCTCTCTCTTTGGCTCTTCCGTTCTCTCTCGCCCCCCTCCCTCTCCCAACGTAGCCGCGTTATGTCCTTCGCTCGGGATTTGTCTGTCTCTCTTTTCCGAGCTGGCGAAGCCTCTTCCGCCGCGCGCGCGTCGCGTCGGCGGCTCTCTCCTCGTCGCGCCCGCGCGATGCAGGGCTCATTGACGAGGAGAGAACGGAATTTGAAACTGAGGCAAGCCGCTTATGAAGCTTTTGCGTAAATCACCGGTGAAAGTCACCGAGTTACCAAGTCAATGAATTACCCACCTCGCTGTGCGGGGCTGTATCCGACGCGGGGTCACGCGCGCCTTGGGGTTAGCGAGAATGATAAGTGCCTTCCGGTTTTAATAGGATACACCTACCTCTCGAGTGTTCGGTGCCCGAGTGCCTGACATTGATTATATGATCGCTTAAGTTATATACGAGCGTTAAAAAAAAGGCAATCCAGATTAGGGAATAAAGTCGAGGTCGGATCTAACGGCAGAGGCCGACTCATCGGCCGTCCGATGAAATGGCGTAACGTTAAATCTTTACTATCAGAGATATTTACCAAGAGGTCTTTACTAAGAGATACTTTCTTGTTATATTATCGTAAGTGTACGCTGTGTGCACGCACAGTATATAAGATAAACGTTCCAGTGGTCGAACATACATGTCCCAATGATTGACATATTGGTTTTGTATTTTTCTTTGTTGAAACGCTTTTCAATATACAAAATATAATAAATGAAAAGAAATATTTAGTTACTTTGTGATTTTGTTTCATTTATTGATAAGCATCTTAACAAACACAAGTATATTATTAGTAATTCAATTATCGATACATGTTCAATCACTAGAAAGGATGTTTACCTTAAATACACACTTCATTCAAATATGAATGTTATTTGTTTCAAGAATTTCATAAATTTATTTATCTGCAAATCTATCATAAACATCAAATTTATTCAAAATGCATTCTGAATAAGTTTAACATTTCAGAATCAAGAATATTAAATTAAGATAGAAATTCGGTTGCTCACACGGAAAAAAAGATTTGCTAATATATGAACAACTAAAAATATTAGCTGCAGGAGCAAATTTTCTTGCTTTCATTGCAAAGTTATTTAGTTGGGATAGCTAAAAGATTTGCTAATATATATATTAACGAATCTTTTAGCTATCACAACTAAGTAACTTTGCTATAAAAGCAAGAAAAGTTGCTCCTGCATCTAATATTTTTAGTTGTCCATATATTAGCAAATTTTTTTTTTCCATGCACTTTTGGGTTGTATAATAAGTAACTTGGAATTATATGAGTAAAACGAAACGCGTGATTATATTCTTTTATGTCATTTTAATTTTATTTTATAAGTATAATATTTTGATTTATGATCTGCGATAAACCCTTTTTATTATTTTTGATGAATATATTTTAAGACTATCACTAAAAAAATATTCTTTGTTGAAAATTAGTGAAAGGACGGAAAATGAACTGATCGCTTTTCCTAAAAGAATGATATTTTTCTGTGTGCATTTATATAAAGAAATTGAATCGTCGTTTTTTTTCGGGAGATATCGAGTATCGACCAATTCGAAACGTCGACGTCCACTCAACAATTCCCCAATCGCGGATTCCGCGAGATTCCTACGTCGTCATACCTACAACTACCATTCGACCTAACGTCGTAATGTAAATTCGATCGACTCCGTCGACACAGTAGGCTCTATTACAGACATTGTGCCGAGGATGTCCACCAACTGCCTCTGGTTCAGCGAATACTATTCGGAATGACAACGAAAGTCATTGATAGTGATTGATCACGCGAGTACAGATAGAATCGCGGGGAAAAAGTGGTCTTTGGACGCACCGTGGGTTTCGAGTAGATTTCGTTGCGCGGATGCTACGATTATTCTTTCCTGAGACAGTTCTGCTCGTCATCTTGGCCACCGATGTCCTGCGGACATACCGGCGTTTTCAGCGTCACAATGCCGACTGCACAGGTGTTTCACAGAGTGACAGTTGTCTAGTGAAAACTTTTTCCTCTCACTTGGCACTCCTCCGCCGATTTCGACGATTGCGTCCCAACGCTTGACAATTATGACGATAATATATTCTGAGAAGCTACTCTATTCCGCGCGACGATACCGATAGAGTATTAAAAAAAGGGTTCTGGAAACTTTAGTGAACATATATAATCGATTATACGACGAGCGTTCGAGATTGTCAGGCTCGGTTCTCGATACACTCGCAGATAATTTGATTGTGCTGGCCAATAGCGAGATTCTAAGCGGTACCCCGCGGAGGGCCCAATCCTACGGTCCATTCACGTAATTCTGCAGCGTAATACTCGCGGGACGCGAGATACCGATCGTGTACGACCAATAAGAAATTGATTCCACGCAGTCACCAACCACGGCGTCATCGCCTTACCACGAATTTTATTCTGTGTCAAAATATAGGTACAGGTAGAGTACATCGCATTCGATCCGACGATCGCGGGAATGTTTCACAGCTCAAGATTTAACGATATCGTCCGAAGGACAATCCTTTTCGAGTCGTAACTTAAACTGGACATCGAGGGGATGCCATACTTGAAAACTTTACCGACAAAATATTGACTTTTTTCTGCGTTAGTTTACGTCATACTGGTTGCACAGAATTACGAATTAGTTATTTTTGTGTATGTTGAAGAAAAACTTATTTCAGAATCGTTGCTACTGCATATTTGTAGTGATATCAAAAAAATTTAGTTGACGTAATTAATTTTATAAATTATTCGTTATCAGAGCAGAAGTAATTTTGTTGCCAGGAAATTGAGGAACGTCAATAATATCGCGACATAATGCTATACAAGTTATTATGATGCTGCAAATAATTATTTTCTGCCGTTGAGTTTTAAAGAAATATTTGTTTCGAAATTATATAATGTTGAATTATCTCAATATATTTTGCTTGTATTCACATTCTTTGTTCTTAGTTATAATAAGCAATGCATTAATTACACATTTGTTCCAGATACTAATCGACGTTCACACTCACATATATGCAATTCGATCGTAGAAACAAAAGTTGACTAATGCGATGCCAACGTAAATCAGATTGAATACTTGAAAAGCCGACGAAATATTTTAATTACCCGGCCGGAAGTTGTAACTAGCATAATAATAAACACTACATAGGCGTTCGCGCCGCCTTGTGACGTAATGTAAAAAAGAATTCACATCTTAGCAGAAAATCACACAGAAAAGCAGAAGCCAGTCAGAATTCACGCTGGTGAGGTCGGGTGGCAGTTTTTGCTTTTCTACCAGCGCGAGCACTGATAGGCGTCCGGCTTTCTATTTTCTGCCTTTCTGCCAAGCCGGCCTAAGACTCAATCGCGAAAAAACACTTGACGCACGAGAGTATCAAAACAAGGGGCGAAAAGGGCTACGTCATCCGGCATCGCTCGAGATGAAAACAATCAACACTGTCGGAACATTCTGGACGGTTACGCGTATCCCCGCGTTCTCCCCAGGTGTTTCCATTACGCCTCGAGTCGGCGAGTGGTACACATACATACATACGCGCGTCGGTATGTCGTTGATCATTTTCGTCAGACGTCTAAAATTTTCATCAGCTTCCGAAATACTTATATTTAATCAGACTCTCTCGTCGCGTAAAGTTAATTAACACGCGTTTCTTCAATCGAATCGCGAGTGTCAGTGTCATGAATGAGTGATCGGAGTGCTACGTCGGAACAGCCGGGAGCCCGGATATTGCATCGGGAAGACAGGACGAAGGACGCAGGCAGCGATATATCACGTATCTCAAGGTGAGTCAAATTATTTAATACACGGGAGATTTCCGATTTTAACGGACAAGTTTCACAAACTTGCCGAAAATATGAGTGCTCGAGTCGAAATTTACATTCGTAGTCCGTCATTATTTGACATATCGCAAATCTATTATTATTACAATCTATCTATAATTATTACGAATTTCTGAGATTATTCGTTAACCACTGTACCTGTACTTACCTCAACAAAAAATATCATTTTATACAACTGAGTAGCGATTCATAAATATGCGAAATGAATTATGTCTTCAATCAATCAAAAGTTGTGAATAATTTCCAACTATCAGCCTTATATTCTAATGTGAATTTCATAGACTGTCTTTTGTGTTTAATAATGCTCGTAACTTCCATCTTGTTAACGCCTTTCTCCACTTAACGCCTTTCTTCACTTCTGTTTACCATTGTTTTTGTGCCGAATCTAATTTTAAATCTTTGTACATACAATATTATTAGACACTCAGCTGCTATCTGTATGTTGATAATTTCTTTCTCTTAGCTCCTTTTAAACCTTGAAATCTTATCGAAATTTTCTAATATCCATAAAAGAGATAATAAAAAGTGGTTACCTAAAGAAAGAAAGTACTATTTATACTGAAAAAAGTATTTTTTAAATAGGAAAATATGCATATTTATAAAGCTTAGCTTTTCATGAAAATAATTAATAATTTATTTTTTAATAAATATTTCAAGTTAGTACTTATCGCGCGTGTATAAATATTTGTTTATTTAAACGTTTTTCTTTATGTACATACTTTATGTACATACTTATTTCATTATCTATATTAAATATTTAATATTTTTTTACGCGTTATATTTGCAACTGGGTAAGTTTGTTAATACTAATAATTAACAACCGAAATATAAATAGAATATTGAGATAATCAAATATTAAGTATCTCTGAAATAAGTTTTTCTTCAACACCCAATAATAATTAATTATTTGCAGCATCACAAAGTAGGACGATAGCTATATGGTATTTCATCTCAAGATTCTTTATTGACTCTTCAAGTTCGAGAGAACTTGCAAGGTGAATGTAGAACCCAAATTTTGACTCGAGTTTTCAAGCGTAAAATATGAACCTTGTTGCCCGACAAGATGTAACTTTTTAGTCTCGCGATCTGCGTAGATGAGAATTGTCGAAATATATAGGAATTTCAATCGTTCGTCCGCCTGAACAATAGACAGGCCTTCTATCGATTACGGTGAGAGATCTAAGGAAGCGTATAAAATATAAAATTTCTGGCGAACGGAAAAAGAAGTCACTGTTCCTGCCGATCGTAATAGTGGCGATCTCTCCTCCAGTGCGGGATCATAAATCGCGTAACACGAGTGGCAGGAAGGACGATAGAAACTCGGGCAGTTTAAAGGAGTGGGTGGGTGTCCCGCATAGTGGCAGTCCGTGTTCCCACATTTATTATCCTGGAAGTCGCACCGGCACTAACGAGCTTTTGATCGTTCGTGTTCGGTGCGGGGTCCATTGGAACCACAAGGCCATGGAACCTCTTTGCACCGGTCGTCGTCGACCATACGAGAGGATACCTGCTACTTCGACTCGAATTGGCCTCCTTCTTCTTTCATCGTCCAGCATTGTGTGAATTGAAAAAAAAGTCCGACGTTGTGCCGGACGTGTAAAAGATTTCCCTGCGCGAGGGAAGGAAATCGGGCTGCTCATTCTTCCCACTCTTTCCTGTCGCGTGAATCAATTTCAAGGTGACGCCTCCGCGACGCGAGATACACTCGTGGCTAAGGCGAGCTTACTGCGATCCGTTAAAACCAACGTAAAACCAGCTTCCGGAAGCAATCAATATGTCACGTGAAACGAACCTTCTTATATGTAAGGCGAATCTCATACAAATGAGGTGTAACTCCGCGCAATATCAACTTCCTAGTATCCTACGAATTACCACGTTAATGAAACGGTCCAGTAATTTCAAAGGAGAAGCAACCGTAATAAAAAGAGGGGAGGAAAGGAAGAGAAGAGAAATGGAAGAGAGAAGGGGAAAGAATTATTGTGTAGTAGAGAATGCACAGACGACAAATGTGACGGTCACATCTTTATTCTTCAATTTCAGTCTGAGGCGAAGTATCTGGACAACGTAACGTGGAAAAGCTTGGGAACGCTATCGTGCACGTATCCAAAAGTCGAGCGGATAGCGAAATTTACAATGGGGCTCGCGGATAAGCCGGTTACCGACGCATCATCCCTCAGAAAAACGCTTCCATTGCGTGCGCCCGGGCTTCAACCACACCACACTTTCGAGGGAACCGTCGATTTTTCGTTTCCGGCGGTTTTAACTCGCGCGCGACGTTCAAAAGCGGCAAACAAAAAATCCGCCGGCATTGTGAAGCTCTCTGCGCAAATACATCTCGATCAAGACGACGCGAATTAATCCACCGCCGATCGGGACCTCAAGTGAAAAAAAAAAAAAGAAAGAAAGTTTGACACATGTACCGACACAAGAATCACGAAATTACGCGTTATCGCGGGTATTATCGACGGCGGTTCTCGCAGTTTCTCCGGGGTCGCTTCGTCGCGGAGGGGGAGAGGAAAGAAGCGGCGGGATCACCGGGAGGGTCGAGCGCGTCGTAGGTCGGATCCATTTTGCAGGGTACCGTCCAGATTTCCCGGGGGAATCTCTCGCGGCGAAGGGATAAAAGGGAAGGAGACGCGGCCGTGACGCTCTCGGAGGGTGAAGAAGACTCGGGGCTTCGGCTATTAGCGATCACAAATAGGCTATTACGGGCCCATTAATAGAGCGCGGCCACGAGACGTGCGCTGGCCGAAACGGGAATCGCGGGTACCAGACATCCATCAAGCTAGACCACGTCTCTCTCTCTTTCTCCCCCACGCTCTCTCCCCCACGCTCTCTCCCTCTCGTTCTCTCCTCTCTCCCTCTCACCTTTCGCTCTTTCCCGTCTTTGTCTACGTCCCGTCTCGCTTGGGCTACGAGCGACGGTATAGGGTTTCCGGGAGCCCCAGAGACTGGTAATCCGAGATTCACTTTGTGCATAAGGACTCGCGCGCGCCGTGCATGCGGTCGTTTCGCGATGCACGCGTTGCGTTACTAACGCGCGCCCAGATCGAACGCACAACCGACTTCGCCGGTCGCTGCGAACCCTTCGCTTCAGGCCGGTTTTTTAATTTTGTGACGACCATGTCGCTAGCGTGGTGTGTCGTTGCATAGCTTTCTTGCCATGTCATTAATAACGAAATTTTAACGACACTGTTGTTGAAAATTTTTCATAAAATGGAACTGCTACCACGCTTCAAGATGTTTCAACCGCGGTAGTGCAGACCGCGTCTGCATTAGGTCCGTAAATCTTCCTGCGTTATTGTTTTAGGTTTGTGTGAGGCGGTAGAAAAAGTGATTCCCCGAGAAGTGTTAGATTTTCCGGATCTGAAACCTTTAATAAAACTTACTCCCTTTTTAAATCTTTTGCAGTGAAATTTCACTTGAAAAGTAGAGTGACCGTCGAGTCACTCGAGTGACTTTTCACTCAGAGCGAATTGTTCATTTTTCAGTGTTGAGTATATTTTCACTCAAAACTAAAGAATGGAAATCTTATGTATTCCATAGAAAAATATTCACTCTAATCAACTGAAATATTCATTCATTAAAATCCATTCTAAACTTGAATGAAATATTTACTCTTGCGATTTTGAGTGCCAGTATCCTCACCGTCGCTTCGAGTGAACGCACTGCCACTTCTCGCTCGTTTTGAGTGAAGTTTTACTCCAAGAAATTTAGAGAATAGTTTGAGAAAGAAAATATCTAATGAATAAAAAATATTTGTTCAATGAGTACTAGTAATATATTTATTTATACTACGCTGAGAAATATTTTTGTGTTAAATTTAACACAAGGTAAATGTGCGAACAAATATCACAAATGATATAAATATAATACTTGTATATAAATATAATACTTATATAATGCTGTGTTATTTTAACATTTAGAAATGACGAATATGAATTCAACGCAGAATAGCCAAAGTCAATGACAACGACAATATGTTAAATTAACATACAACAAAATTAATTAGCATAAGTATGTTAAGAATTTAATATAAAAGTTTTTCTACACGGACTAATGTCAACACAAATACAAAATGTTTTTCAATATATGTGTAATATAAAATATCTTTTAATTTATGCATTTTCTCTCTTAAAATCTTAGCTTTTCATGAAAGCTTCGTTTTCATAAAAGCCTGTTTAAAAGAATTTAAAAGAATAGTTTATATTGTTTAAAAGAATGTAGATTTATATAGACACACACGACAAATACGTTATTAGTACTCACTGAACTTTTTGACTGAAGCTCTTCTTATAGATTTCTTGCAATCTTAAATTGCGTTATTTAATATGCGTTTATAAGAGAGATGTGTAAATTATAATTTAATATACGTTTAAATATGACTTAAAACGCTGAGAAACGTCTAAAAGGAGATTAAGCCAGAATAATACTTTTGAATTTGCAGTACACACATACACTCGCCTTTATTTCTTTTCTGAAATCAGAATACAAATAAGATATCTCTGTCTTAACGAAATGAAGGACTCGACTCGCAAAACTCGAGAGGGCGGAAAGTGGCCCCCGCAATGAGCAACGAATACGATAGCCAGTAATAAACATAAGCTCGGCTAATCGAATAGGCAGAGCGATTCGATGCCACGTGCCGACCGACGACGGCGACGACGTCGACGGCAAACATCAGTGCGTTGTTAGTCCAGTTAGTCAACATCGACGCCTCCGATGTTAAGCCGAGCCGTTGTAGCACTGACTGACCCACCCCTGCCGTCCCCTTTTCCTGTCGATCGTGCACACGCCGAATCATCCTGCTCGTCCGGCAGGACGTCGCCAATTGTCTCCCCGCTCGTAGATAGCACAAACGGTGCTGCGTGAATTCGAAGAAGCGGCTCGCTTCGTTACAGCTGAAATTAAAACATAATCACACCAAGACATTGCTCGCTCCC